TTCTACCGGGACGTTGGAGTCCTGCACTGCACAGGACACATATTCCTGTCGGGGGATGGAATGTGTGTAGCTTTTATATTTCCTCAATACACATTTATAAAACGTCTGCTTCCTGTCAGGCACCAGAGTAGATAATTTGGAAGAGCCAGCAGTGAATGATTGAACTTGTAGCTCTTGTCTTTGTGGCAATCACAGCCCAAATGGCTGTGACTAGTCAGAAATAGTGGTTACGAATCGGGCTGCGAACCTCAGGGTCAGCAGTTCGAAACTACCAGCTGTTCCGCGGGAGAAAGATGAGGCGTTCTGCTCCCTTAAAGATTTACAGCCTCGGAAACCCTGTATAGAGTCGCTATGAGTCGGAATCGACTCCACGGCACATAACAACAACAATAAGAGGTCAGAACCGACTGGACGGCACTTGACAACAACAATGTAAGTATTATTATGTTGTTAAAGTGCTGTGGAGTCAGTTCCAACCCATAGAACTCCTTTATAGTGTTTCTTAGGAGCGGCTGGTGAGTTTGAACTGCCGGCCTTGTGGTTCAAGCCGACTTTGCATCCAGCGCATTAACCCACAGTGCCACACCAGGAATCCCAAGTATGGTGGTGCTGGTTATGTGCTGTGTAGTCGATATTGACTCATTGCAACCCTGCATAGGGTTTCCGAGGCTGTAAATCTTCACAGTAGCAGAAAGCCTCATCTTTCTTCTCCGGAAAGGCTGGTAGTTTCAAACAGCTGAACCTGAGGTTAGCAGCTGGACTCGTAACCACTATGCTACTAGAGCTCTTTAAGTATTATTATTATTGTGTTGTTGTTGTTGTTGCTAAGTGCCGTTGAGGAGGTTTCAACCCATAGCGACCCAATATAGGGTTTTCGAGGAGCAGCTGGTGAACTTGAACCGCCAACCTTGAAGTTCAAATGGCTTTGCAGACTGGCACAAAAGGAAGGAGTGAAATGAGAATATGAGTGAGAATTGATTTTTCACTTAGGGGATTTGGCAGGACATCTGGGAGGATGTTATTTGAATGGGGTAGGACTGTCGGAGGGAGGGCGAGACAGAGGACTTCGAATCATAAAGTTGGTGTTCCCAGCCCACCTGCTGCCCTGTGTGAGAAAGATGAGGCTTTCTGCTCCAGCAAAGATTTACACCCTTGGCAATCTCATGTTGTTAAGTGTCCTCAAGTCAAGTTGGTTCTGGCTTAGATAGTGACCCTGAATAGGATTTCCCATGAGCTACTGGTAGGTTTGAGCCTCCAACCTGTGGTTAGCAGTCCAGAACTTATCTTACAGTGCCACACCAGGAAATCCCAACTCAGTGCCTAATTTCACGATGAAAACATCAGATTTGGTATAGGACAAGCAAGGCACAGAAACTGAAAGTAGGGGGACCTTGTTTAAAAAGAGTGTGACAAATGGCATATAAGAAAAGTACAATTGGAGCTAAGTTTTGGAGGGGACAGATGAAGAACAGGACTCATGTAGTGTGCTCTAGATTGAACAGGTTTACTGTGAGTTCTCTTTTAAAAATGTCAATCTGACCATAACATCCCTCTGCTCAAAACTGTTTCATTTATACATTCCTACTATTTGCAGGACACTGTTCAAAGCATTAGGGGTACAGCAGTGAATAATAATAATAAAATCCCTGCTCTCAAGAAACTTCCATTCTAATATGCCTGAAAACTAACAAGGTAAAATTCAAAGGGGCTTCAAAAAGCTTGTGTAATAATGGAATGAAAAGAGTGGAATTTCTCCACAAACTTTTTGAAGCCCCTCATACTTGGTGATACCATCCAGACTTCCTGTTCAGAAACACATGAGTTCTTGCTCCTGCTAAGGCCTGCTTCTTGTTATTCCTGTTTGCTGCTGCTGGCCTTTATCAGAGGATGTCAATATTTGAAATGTCTGCCTCTTTTAGGGTAGACGCAGCCCCTGCCCTACAGGAAGGCAATCAGCTAGTCCCTCTGAGAGATAGGTGTGTCAGAATGCAATACCTAGAGCCCACCCAGCATCAGTACAAGGATGTGCACACTTTTTTTTGATGGGGGGAGGGAGAGCAGGGCGCTTTCCATCTGTGGAAAATGGAAAGGAGGGGGTCTTTGAGAGCAAGCACAAGTGTTCCCAGCTTTAGAACAGTCTTTCCCAGAATAGAGACTGATATGTGAACATCTTGATTTTGCAATAGTATCTTATGAGTTTGGTTTCTGTGAATCAAGCCCACAGTGCCAGGTTACCTCTTAATAGCTAGTCACTTGAATTTCTCAGCCAATCACTTGAGTCTGCAACCCCCATGCCCAGGTGCCCTGCCTTTCTTCTTCATCTCCCATAACCATTCCTGTTCCTAACCAAAAGGCTGTGCTTGCTGAGTGCCATCTGTGTCAGGCCCTGCTCTAGGCCTGACAGGTTGGACAAGGCCTTATCCTCACTGAGTTTGTAATCTATTGGGGGAAAGATAAATAGATAAGATACTTAGGGATGAAGAGAAGGATCTATGTGCCACAAGGAAGCAACTTTAGGACGGAGGGGTCAGGACAGCCTGTCAGGGGTCAGAAGGACAAACAAAACTCTTTGGAATGAGGAAGGGAGCAAGAGCTGGACCCGAGGCAGGAACAGGAGATTCTCTCAGGAGGCCAATGTGTCAGAGATGTAGTGAGCATGGGGGGCATGGTCCCATGTAAGGTTAGAAAGGGGAACTGAGGTCAGCTCCAACACGCGTGAAACGCAGTTATGCCATCGATCCTAAAGATCTTTCTGGTGGCAGTGCTGAGAGTAGGCTGTGCTGCACAGGGGCAGGAGTGGAGGCAGGTATGGGTCTACTGCATAGTCTACAAAGCAAAGAGATCCCTGGTTATTTTCCTTGCCTAAGAAATAAGCATATTAAAAAAGTACCCTTTGGTTGTTTAAATGATCATATATTCCTATGTGTTTTTGTGTACATCAAAAATTTTTTTAAAAGGAGGGAATAGAGGCAAATACTCTTAACCCATGGTGCATAGAGGGGATTGTAATCATTTTAATGAAACAAAATACGATTTGTTGAGTGCAAAACTGATGCCCTCCCATGTAAACTATCACTCAACTCACAATAAAAGCTTTTAAAAAACAAAAACACTCCATTTCCAAGAAGCCTGCACCCCTTTACTAAAAATCAAGTGAATATTCAACATACCACTCCTCCTAATCAGTATTATTAGCCCACTCTTGGAGGAAGAGACCCCATACCTTTCCTTATAAGCAAGTGCACCACAAATCCAGTGTCTTCTCCACCCACAGAGACAGACCCACTTCTGTCTGAAGTGAACTTTTGCTTTGACTTAATTCATACTCCCCAATTCCAATGGGTCTTCTCCACTTGTGGAGAAAGACCCACTTCTCTCTTTGAAATGTACTATCACTTTGCAGATAAAGAGCTTTTGAGTGAAAGAAAGAAAGAAGTAAATTAAATGCTGTTCACTGCTGTGAACACTGTAGTGATGAATGAATTTACCACTGACCCGCTGGCCCAGGTAGTTGGTTACTGGTTAGGTTTGGTGGCAGCAAATGGGCAGGGGAAGAGTTGCTTCCCCACACTACCTTATTATTGATAAGAACAGTGTGACACACTAGAGCTAGGTGTAGAAAGGGGAGGCTAGTGTCCATTTCCCAGGAAAAGAACACCAGCTCCCCCAGGCCCTGAGTACCTTTTTGACCTCCCTTCTGGTCTGATGAGCTTGGAGGAATCGTAACAACCAGAATAAGAAAGTAACCAATGCACACATTGGTCATCAGGTAAAAATGCAGAACCAGTAATGTTGCCCAGGAGTCCTGGTGGTACAGTGGTTAAGTGCTCAGCTGATAACCAGAAAATCAGCAATTTGAACCCACCAGCCGCTCTGTGGGAGAAAGATGTGGCTGCATACTTCCATAAAGATTTACAGTCTCAGAAATCCTATCCTATAGGAGTCCTGAAACCCTATCCTATAGATTGCATTTCAAATAAGTTTTGATTTTTTTTTTTTTTCAACGACCTATAACTGTGGCTAGATACTTGGACCTTGCCAGGTGGAATACACAGGAGTCCTGGTGTGGTGCTGTGGGTTAATGCGCCAGACTGCAAAGCCGTTTGAACTGCAAAGTTGGTGGTTCAAGCTCACCAGCTGCTCCTAGGAAACCCTGTACAGGGTCGCTATGGGTCGGAACCTAGTCAACACTTCTCAACAACAACATAGGGTTGCTATGAGATGGCAACATGTTAGTTTTTTTTTGGTCTAGTCATTATGCCAAGTAGCCTTAAGGTGGCAACCCTGAGCAGTTTATGACCAAACTGGTTGCCAAAAGGGTAATTTAAATTTAGGTGGAGGAGAATATGCGTGTGTTATAGGTTGATTAAAGAGTCTCAGTATCTTATAGTTCTAGCCTCCATGTTCTAATGAGTTAGATGAGTTCCTGGTTAATTCATCTGCTCCTCAAAGTCAGACCGTGTTTGGTGGGATGGGAGTGAGAGGTAGAGAGCCAAGTCCAGTGACATGGGACGGCTGGCAGGGCTGCCTCAAGAGACATGTGAGCAAACTGGGTGGGAGGGCTAATGCTCTGGGCCACCTGTTGATGCTTTGCTGGATGTGAGGAACAAGGATGATGAACACTCAGTCACAATCCCCAAGGGACTAGAGTCCCCAGGTGCCGCTATTTGACATGGTTTAGAGATGTTACAATTGAGTGCTGGCTTCTCCAGGGCTGCCTAGGGATTTGGTGACCCAGTCCAAACCAGAACCCAAGTATCCAGATAGCCTAGCCTCCTGAATCTTTCTATCACATAAGGCATAGTCAGGGGAGGGAAGGCGATTTCTGGTACCATGACCCAGCCTGGGCAGAAATAACAGAGCCCAGTTTGACTTTCACAGCCTGGAGGAAAATGCCCACTCCTGCCTACATCTCTAAAGGTGGCAAGGTAATGCTGAGATGCATTTTATGTTTCAGAACCAGCCAGAAGGAAGCAGATCACTTTTTACTTGTTGCCACAATGCTGACTGCCCGCCTCTCCAGACCCCTGTTACAGCTTCCAGGGAAAACCCTGAGTTTCTATGATAGAGGCAGTGGAACAAGGTAAGAAACTGACATGGATGGTGCGGGTGGTGATCAGCCCTGACTCTGAAAGATGTCTTTCAAATCCCCAGCCATCTACCAGCACAGGAAATTCAAAGGTGTCCACAAAAGACAGAGACCTTCCCAGGTTTACAGGCAAAGGAGAAAATATTTCATAACTACTTTTTTTTTTTTTAATAAATGTGTTATTTGGAAACATTTGAAAAAAAAGTACAAAAGCTTCCTATATGTCTTTCACCCAACTTCCCCAAAAGCTAACATCTTTCTAAACCATAGTGCAATTATCAAAACCAGGAAATTACATTGATAAATATTAACTATTAACTAATCTATACACCTTATTCAGATTTTGCTAAATGACCCCACTAATGTCCTTTCTCTGATCCAAGATCCCATCTATGATCCCACATTGCATTTAGTTGCCATGTCTCTTTTGTCTCTTCCTGTTGGGGAGAGTCCCTAAGTCTTTATTGTGCATTATCTTGACACCCTGGCCAGTTATTGTAGACTGTTTCAATTTGCTGTCACTCACTGGCCATTTTTTCCATACTGTGGTGGCTTGCATGTTGCCGTTGTGCTGGACGCTATGCCACCGGTATTGTTTAAATACTCATGATGGGTGGGCTTCAGTGGAGCTTCCAGCCTAAGAAGGAGGACTTGGTGATCTGATTCTGAAAAGACTGACGTGGGAAAACCGCGTGACTAACAGTGGAACCTTGACCTAGTGCGGGAAGATGAGCCCCTCAGGTTGGAGTGCATACAAAATACAATCTGGAAACAACGAACTGCCGTCTCATAGCACAGTCAAGCTTAATGACATGGGTGGAGTAAAGCTTTCAAGTCCTTCATTTGCTGGTGTGGTGTGACTCAGAATGAAAAGAAACAGCTGCAAATATCCATTAATAATCAGAATATGGAATGTATAAAGTATGAATCTAGGAAACAAAAATGAAATGGAACACATAAAGGTAAATATCCTAGATACTAGTGAGTTGAAATGGACTGATATTGGTCATCTTGAATCAGATAAACATGGCCAACTAGGCCAGGAATGACAAATTAAAAAGGAAGGGTATCACATTCCTCATGAAAAAGAACATTTTAAGATCTGTCTTGAAATATAATACTGCCAATGATAGGATCATATCCATACACTGATAAGAAAACCCAGTTAATACAGCTGCAATTAAATTTTATGCACCAACTACTAACGCCAAAGATGAAGATACTGAAGATTTTTACCAATTTATGCTTTTTTTTTTGAAATTGATCAAACATGCAATAAAGATGTATTGACAGTTACTGGTGATTGGAATGTAAAAGTTGGAAATTAAGAAGGATCAGAAGTTGGAAACGATGGCCTTGCTGATAAAAATAACACTGGAGGTTGCATTTCAAATAAGTTTTTATTTATTTTTTTCAACGACCTATAACTGTGGCTAGATACTTGGACCTTGCCAGATGGAATACACAGGAAAAAAATTGACCACATCTGTGAAAAAAGATGATAGAGAAGCTCAGTATCATCAGTCAGACCACAGTCAATGGTCAACTTCATAACAGACCATTTATTGTTCATATTCAAGTTCAAGTTGAAGCTGAAGAAAATTAAAACAAGTCCACAAGAGCTGAAGTACAACCTTGAGTATATCCCACCTGAATTTAGAGACCATCTCAAGAAGAGATTTGATGCATTAGATACTAATGACCAAAGACCAGAAGAGTAGTGGGACAACATCAAGAACATCCATCATACAGGAAGAATACTTATGACTGAAGACCAGATGAGTCGTGAAATGATATCAAAGACATCATACATGAAGAAAACAAATGGGCATTAAAGAGACAGGAAAGAAAGAAAAGATCCAAATGGATGTTAGAAGAGACTCTGAAACTGACTCTTGGTCATGGAATAGGTAAAGCAAATGGAAGAAATGATGAAGTAAATAAAAGAATTGAACAGAAGATTTCAAAGCACAGCTTGAAAAGATAAAGTATTATAATGAAATATGCAAAGGCCTTAAGAAAAACAAAAAGGGAGAATGTGTTCAGCATTTCTCAAGCTGAAAGAACTGAAGAAAAAATTCAAGTCTTGATGAAATATTGAAGGATTCTATGGACAAAGTATTGAATGATGCAGGAATACAGAGGTCTCTGTACCAAAAAGAACTGGTTAACATTCAACCATTTCATGAAATAGCATATGACCAAGAACCAATGCTATTTAAGGAAGAAGTTCTGGGTGCACTAAAGACATTGATGGAAAACTAGGCTCCAGGAATTGATGGAATACCAATTTAGCTGTTTCAACAAACAGATGCAACATTAGAAGCACTCTCATCTATGCCAAGAAATTTGGAAGACCACTATCTGGCTAACCTACTACAAAAGATCCATATTCCTGCCCATTACAAAGAAAGGTGGTCCAATAGGATGCAGAAATTACCAATCAGTATCATTACTGTACCTGGTGTGGAGCTGTAGGATAAGCATTGGACTGGTAACTGCAAAGTCAGCAGTTCAAACCCACCAGCTACTCTCGGAATCCCTTCACAGGGTTGCTATGAGTTAGAAATGATTCGATGGCACACAGCAATGACATAGTATCATGCACAAGTAACATTTTTGCTAAAGATAATTCAAAAATGGTTGCAGCAGTATAAGGACATAGAACTGCCAGAAATTCAAACCGCTGGATTCAGAAGGGGATGTGGAATGAGGGATATCATTGCTAATGTCAGATGGATCTTGGCAGAAAACAGAGAATACTAGAAATATGTTTCTTGTCGTATAGTGACTTTGCATAGGCATTTGACTGTATGGATCATAACAAATTATGAATAACATTTCAAAGTATCAAAATTCCAGAACACATAATTGTGCTCATGGGGAACCTATACATAGACCAAGAGTCAGCCATTCAAACAAAGCAAGGGGATACTGTGTGTTTTAAAATCAGGAAAGCTGTGCATCAGAGTTGTATCCTTGCACCATACTCATTCAATCAGTATGCTGAGCAAATATCCAAGAAGCTGGACTACATGAAGAAGAATATAGCATCAGGATTTGTGGAGGACTCATTAACAACTGGTAATATGCAGATGACATAATCTTGCTTGCTGAAAGCAAAGAAGACTTGAAGCACTTACTTAGGAAGATCAAGGACTACAGCCTTCAGTATGGATTATACCTCAACATAAAGAAAACAAAAATCCTTACAGCTGGACCAGTAAGCAACATTATAAGAAATGGAAAAAAGATTGACGTTGTCAAGGATTTCATTTCACTTAGATCCACAGTCAACACCCATGGAAGCAGTGGTCAAGAAATCAAATGATGCTTTGGGCAAATCTGCTGCATAAATACTCTTTTAAATGTTAAAAAACAAAGATGTCACCTTGAGGACTAAAGTGTGCCTGACCCAAGATATAGCACTTTCAATATCCTAATATGTATGTGAACACTGGACAATATATAAGGAAGATTGGAGAAGAATTGTTGGTTTTGAATTATGGTGTTGGTGATGAGTATTGAATAGACCATGGACTTCCAGAAGAACTAACACATTTGCCTTGTAAGAAATACAGCCAGAATACCCCTTAGAAGGGAAGATGATAAGAGTTCATCTTATGTACTTTGGACGTATTATTAGGAGTGACCAGTCCCTGGACAAGGGTCTCAGGCTTGGTAAAGTCAGCAAAAAAGAAGAAGACTATTGGTGAGCTGGGTTGACGCAGTGACTGCAACAATGAGGATGGCACAGGACCAGGCAGTGTTTGGGGTTCATAGAGTCATTATGAGTCAGAACTGACTGGACAGTACCTAACAACAACAACAGCTCTCTAGTTTTGTGTGGTGTTTCCTCATGTTTAGATCTCGTGTTTGGCACAGATCCCACAGAAGGTGGTGTACTCTCCAGTGCATCACACATCCCGAGGCACGTGGTGATGTGTCTCATTACCTTGATCACCTGGATAAACGGCCTTATAAACTGCCTTATGCACACACACACACACACACACACACACACACACACACAAAACCCGTTAACTTTAATGCCCCGAGTCTTCACTGAACTGTTTATGAATGTAACATAGAGGAAGCACAAATTAAAGAAACTGCTCTTCTTTTGGAGCTTCTGGAATTGCTTTCCCAGGGGGATTCAGTGTGCCCTCTTATTTATTTTCTTATTTTGCAGCCCAGAGCAAGGGAAAAAATGAACATCCTTTACTTTCTCTTGTTATTTGCCATTGAGTGGATTAGAACTCATGGCAGCCCCATATGTGCACAGTAGGACTCTGCTCCATATGGAAGCAGATTACCACATCTTTATCCCATAGAAAGGCTGATGGGTTTGTACCTTGCAGTTATGTCCCAGTGCTTAACCCACAGTACCACCATGGTTTGTTAAGTGCTATCAAGTTTTTTCGGACTCATAGCGACCTTGTATAGGGTTTCCCAGGAGCAACTGGTAAGTTTGAGTCGCCGACCTAGCAGTTCAAACTGACCTGGCAGTCCAGTGCTTACCCTACACCAGTTTGTTGTTGTTGTTAAGTACCATGGAGTCAGTTCCGACTCATAGTGACCCTGCACAGGGTTTCTGAGGCTGTAGTGGTTACGAGTCGAGCTGCCAACCTCAAGGTTAGCAGTTCGTTGTTAAGTGCCAGTGTTTGGCTTCCAGCTCCACACCAGGACTCTGCCTACCACCTGTTGTTGTTGTTGTTATGTGCCGTGGAGTCAGTTCCAACTCATAGCAACTCTGCACAGGGTTTCCAAGGCTGTAAATCTTTACGGGAGCAGAAAGCCTCATCTTTCTCCTGCGGAACAGCTGGTAGTTTCAAACTGCTGACCGTGAGGTTAGCAGCCCAATTCATAACCACTACCCTGCCAGAGCTCCTTACCCCTGGTGAACCCAACATTCTTTAGAAAAGTCAGATAACATATTTCTATGAATGTTTAAAATGACTTACAGGGTCACTATGAGTTGGAACTGACTTGAC